TCTCTAGGGTCTCCTTGCTGGAATGTACCTGGCTTTTCTATGGTCTCCTTGCTGGAATATTCCAGCCTTCTCTAGGTTCTCCTTACTGGGATATCCCTGGCTTCTTTAGGGTCTCCTTGCTGGAATATCCCTGGCTTCTTTAGGATTTCTTACTTTTCTTCTCATCTTCTCACTTGAAGCCCAAGTCGGGCATCCCGACGTTGGGAAATGCCACAGCTGAGGCTGCTCAAGTTCTCTTTGTTTATGGTTATGATAACCACGGTTCTACTATTTCCTGAAACTCCTGTTTTTGCAGCTTGGGWAATATCTCTTGAAAGTTTTCATGCATAATGGAGAAATGTTTCCATAGATGCTGTTCTTACCGTTACCTAACATTCATTGCACATTATATATAAGTAARATCTGGGTGACAAGTAGGCACCTTGCTTATTCCCAGTGAAATTACAAGCGTATAGTTTTCCCATGAGCTGAGAGCCAAACTTGTTGCGGATATCGCTTGGATTCCAGCCAGAGACTGTGGCTTTCCACCAGGTTGGAAGTTCTTCTGTGTGTCAGACTCGCAGGTCTCTCTGTACTCCATCAAAAGGGAATGAGATGTCACTAACAGAACACTGTCGGGCTGGTATTTTCTTGCCTTTGCTCCTGACAAATATAAAAACAAAAAGGAGGATCAGAGGAAAGGGACTCTGGATGCATTTACCAAGCAGCAAGCTCCAAATATKTTTTTTTTATATGATTATACTAAGCAAAAATACTCCCTTCTCACTTGCTTACAAGCGAAACAAGTTTTAAATAGAGCCAAACTCTTAATCATACTGATTGTTGCAGTTTAAAGAAGGTTAAACTCAAAAAAAAAGGCAGATTAAACCCAAAGATTCTTGTTTCCTCTGTAAAAATCAGAAGGATCTTGGGGGCTTTAAGGCCCAGCCGAAACATTGCTGCAGAATTAGGACTGCTTTTGGAATGGGCTTCTGTGCCTGGAGAACACAGGAGGAGCTTCCAGCAGTGCTTTATGCATCAAAACTCTCCAGTTACCTGCTTGCCTCTGAGCCAAGCCCTTCATCTCTTGCTCTGAAAGGAAGCCTCTTGCTGCTCCGGGGTTTGCAGCACCCTTTAATGCAGCCTTGCAGCGCCGCCCAGCTCGGCCCTTGGCTTCCAGGGACGTCTTTAAATGCACCTCAGTCTTCATCTCGCCGCCTTAACCTGCTCCTATGAGTCCTGTCATATTATTATATGTTATCCTTGTCRTAATTATGTCATCCTTGTCATAACTCGACTAGGTTTGGGGGTTCTCCGCATGCTTTCCTGTTGGGTTGCTGCAGGGTTACTGCTGCGTTTTGGAACGTGTATTTATGTAAGGAATGTTTCTTGGGTTTTTTGTTTGTTTGCTTGCTTTTGGGAGAGAGGTTCTGCCTTGGGAACCAAGCTCAGCGTGTTTCCTGCTAAGTAGCCTTTAGGGAGGGACAAATGGTTTCATATCAACTTGCAAACATGTTGAGTGTGGTTTGCTTTTTGCAGGCAAGGATCATTTAAAGCGGSAAACAGCATGGAAAAGGTGACTGGGTATTAAAAAGGAGTATAAACGTATAGGATTATGTAGACCTGTGCATGTAAGTTAGGGTTTTGTTGCTCATTTTTACCTCGCTGTGTTTGCAGCTGAAATTCTGGAGCTAGCAGGAAACGCAGCAAGAGACAACAAGAAAGGAAGAATCGCCCCCAGACACATCCTCCTGGCAGTTGCAAACGATGAGGAGCTGAACCAGGTACMCGCTCGTGTTTCAGTGCAAGAGTTGTGCTCTGTGGCACGGGCAAAACTGCTGCTTCTGGAAGTTGGAGGCACTCTGGCTGCTCTCRTGGATGAGAATGCAATGCAGAATTGCATTAAAAAGCCAAATAAGGTTGTGCCCGCCTATATGAGAGCAAAATATTTGTGGGCATCTACTGTAGTTTGTGTCAGTGCGTGGAAAGGAGGATGCTGGGCGGGAGTTGCGTTGCATCCAAAAGTTGGACGGGGCCACAAAAGGCTAACCGAAAAACGAGGAGTGACTCCTGTGGCTGAAGTTGGGCGTGAGGAATCTGCAGCCTCCGTGTCCCATTCTTTTTGTGGCCCTTTGGAAGACACAGGATACACCCTTCTGCTGGCTCGTTCATGTTTTTCTGTCCCTCTTCATGCATGTTTCTCATCCCCTCTGGATAGAAAGGTGTCTCACCTTACCTTAGATGCCTGAGACCAGTTTTTGAGCCAACTGTGGCATCTTTTTGTTAGCTCTCCACCGAGAAGCCCCAGAATCTACATGTTCTTTTAGTTTTCCTTCCTGGCATGTCTCCTTTCACTGGGACGGGATCTGCTGGTTGTCAAACTAGGAGCTCTGCAGATTTTTGTCCTCCAGAAGGTCCCTTGGCCTGCTCCACTATAGTGAGAGTGGCCCATTCTGCTTCCCTGTGTCCCATTCCTCCTCCTGACTTCTCCCAGGTCGGCGCAGGGAGCTCAGCTCCCACCCAGTCCACTTCCCTCCATCCTTCTCCGCCCCTGGCACCGCTGCCCTCTCTTTTAGGCAGCCTCCTGGTGCTCGTCTCCCCTTAGGCTGCTTCATTCACTGCCTGTGAGTCACCGAGAGCAGCTCTGCAGGGGAACCAGCACCTTGCAGAGCAGCAGCCTTCCCCGGGATTCCCCCTGCCACATTCCTGGCATTCCTCTGGATCGTTTTCCTGATGGGATTCTCTCCTGATGAAACTCAAGGCGTCTAATGCATTAGCCCAGCACGTGCTCCCCTTGCACGCGTGTCATGTCATCAGCCCAAATGGATCGAGTGCCTGGGGGAAAATTGGGGGGATTAACGGGGTATTTCCTGCTCCTTCCCCCCGTTTCCTCCTCGCAGTTGCTAAAAGGGGTGACCATCGCCAGCGGCGGGGTCCTGCCCAGGATCCAGCCCGAGCTCCTCGCCAAGAAGCGCGGCGCCAAAGGCAAATCCGAGACCATCCTCTCCCCGGCTCCCGAGAAGAAAGGCAGGAAATCCCTGGTGAGCAAAAAGAGCGGGAAGAAAGCAAAGTCTGCCAAGGCCAGGACGCCCAAAAAGGTGAGCACGGGGCGTAGGTGGCACTGGGAAAGTGTGGATTGATGGGGTGCAAAAGCACATGGGAATATTAGGATAAATATATCAGTGCTGCTGATATATTTATCCTAGATATGTTTGTTGCAGTGTTTGTTGCAGCTTAAAATGGGAGGTGGAAATGGAAGAGAGATTCACCAGGAATGGTTCCCTCTAAACTTGAGGAATAAGCAGAGAATCACAGATATAGAATGGGTTTCTGCAACAGAAAGTGTTAAAGCTTCGAGGGGCGTTTTCAGATCTACCATGTCACCCTTGCAAGGACCTTCTCCACCACTACGTGGGGCCTGTTCCTCCTCATGCTAATCGTGTGGGAACGAGCTCTAGCATTTTAAGTACAGGAAACTGCGTTTTAAGTCATTCTCTGGTTGATCGATACCGCATCTTCAGTCTTGTGCTCGCACTGAGGTGTGATAATTCTCTCTTTTCAGTCTACTTTGAGCTTCGTGACTTAATAGCTGAGATTTAAGCTACTGTCCCCGTGTTTTTCGCCTCCGAAGCGAAGCGCTCGATAGGGCTAGTGTGGGGTTTGGGGTGGCCTCTGCTCTGGTAGCAACAAAACTAAAGCAAAACCACCCCTAAACTCAGCCTTAGTGGTGAGTAAAACCACAGCTGGATGTGCCTCCCCGCTGCCTCTTATCATAACCACAGGCTCGCGTGTTGCCTCAGCCGAACCACTAATCTCTGCGTGTTATCGACAGCGAGGAGCTCTCTTACATAATCCTTGGAGAGCAAGAGGCTGTGAATAATACATTACCTTGAGGAGACTGGCGTAACCAATTAAATCTATTAATTGCTGAGTAATCGTGAAGGCTGCCTCTGTTGGTAGCGACATGGATGGGGTTTTGTTTTTCCCTCCAAACAGAGCAAACAAAAGGACACCGAGAAAGAAGGAGCTTCAAATTCGACATCTGAAGACGGACCTGGGGATGGTTTCACTATTTTGTCCTCCAAAAGCCTCGTGCCAGGACAAAAGGTAACCCCGAATTAGGAGGGTTAAAGGGATGAGGATCACACCAGCAGAGCCCGGGGTTACCCAGTGGCRTCCCAGCTTGAAAACAGGCCCCGAGGGGCTGCCCTCTTCACGCTGAGGCCCTTAGCAGCCCCGCACTGGGGCTGCCTGCCCGAGAGCAGCCCAAAACCAGCCYAAAATCTCAAAAACTCCCGTGAAAATACCTGCGTGTCCACGTTGTCCAGTCAGACCGTCTGCCCCGTTCCTTTTTTCTCAGCAAGTGGATGATTTCTGCCCTTAATTTTTTACCCTTTGAGCAAAGCTGCATTTTTAACTTGTAGATTTAGTGAAGGAGCTGTAGTCAACTGCTTTTATTACTTTTATTTCAAAGAGGATCATCTGGGGAAAAAAAAAATAGCAATTTCCTTCTGAGCAGTCATCCAAGCTGTGGGAATATCATGAAGTAGTCTGGCTGGTGCAGAAACCAATTAATATTAAAAAAAATCACCATTGCACACACTGAACCCAGTAACTTTACTGATCTCTGCAAGACAGCATCCACCCTTAATTTGCTTTATTTATTTGGTTTGAAAACTCCTTGGGGCTGAGGTTACTGGCTTTAATTCTTTGCCCTCTCCTCCTGCAGCTTTCCCTGACCCAGAGCGACATCAGCCATATTGGCTCCATGAAAGTAGAAGGAATTGTCCACCCAACCACTGCCGAAATAGACCTCAAGGAGGAAATCGGTGAGGCTCTGCACACAGAAAAAGCAAATCCGGACTCAGATTTGGTCTGGTCTCCCAGCTGCGTGCCGAGATTCCATCCCGTTGCATCCCAATCTTCCCCAGGCCATAAAATGCCCCATACAACACTCCTGAAAATCAGGCTGGAGCTCACTAAGTATAACAGAAAATTGGCTCATTTTTCCTCTTTTAATGATGGCTAATGACGCTCACCACGCACRTGATTCCTTAAAGCAGAATTCCTTAAAGAGTTATACAGTTTTCCTGGGATACTGTTCCCGAGGGAAGGTGGCTCCGTGCTTGGATTTTGCTGGTGGTTTATGAGCACTGGTTTGTGGTAAATTTCTCACTGATAAGGGTGCTTTGTTGTTGTTGTTCTCYGGTTTGTTTAGGAAACACGTCCCACAAATCCCACTATTCCCATTTTTAGCCCTAAGGCGGAGGCAGGTAGCATGCGTGCAGATAATTACCTTAAAGGTAATTAAGCAATTCCAGTAATAATGCTTTTCAAAACCCATAAAAAGCAAACTTTACCTGTGGCTGAAAGAGTGGTAACACAAACCCCAGCTGCTACTAAGCGTGATGTTACTCGTAGAGCGTTCTCTTAACTCCTGTGTCTTTCTTTTCCCTTGGGAATACTTGAGAGCCCAAGGTCTTTGGCTTTGTGTCCTTGCAGGCAAGGCTTTGGAAAAGGCCGGCGGAAAAGAGTTTCTAGAAACGGTGAAAGAGCTTCGCAAGTCTCAAGGACCTTTGGAAGTTGCTGAAGGTAAAAAGGAAGCTGAGTTCTGGCCTGGAAATGCCTGGAACCTTCCATGTGTTCTTCTCTCTTGGGCTGCCCTGGGTTATATATGTGCCTTCATTTCGGTGACTTAAAAGTTTCTGTTTCTTCRTGTGCCTTCATTTTGGTGACTTAAAAGTTGCTGTTTCTCCTTCAAGGCTGTTGCTGATAAGGACAGCCAGCTTAGGACAAGAAAAAAAGGGATTTTTTCAGTTTTTTTTTTGTTTTTAGCCCATAAATAGAGGCTAAATTTAGCACAATAAACTTCACTTCTGCACTGAATCATATATATCAGCCACAGCATTGAAGCAAACCTCTTTCTCTGTTAACCTCACTGCATCACTGGAAAGCAGACTCCTTTAGAGCTGCTAAGCTAGTCCCAGGAAAGAAGATAATCCTGATGGCAAACGTAGTAATTGAGCTCCAGCCTAAAGGGCCCTGAGTTCTGGCGCTGCCACGTGGGTGACGGGGCCTAAATGATGGTGAATTTCCAGAGGGTTTTTCCTGTGGCTGTGACTGCACTGCAGGAGGGCCTCGTGAGGAGTAAATGGCACTGTTTTCAGTGTCACCCCGCAGGAAACAAATCCAGAGTCTATGCTGAATGAGGAGAACTATAGTATGTTATTGAATAGCTCCTCTTAAACAAACCCCGCGACCTTTGGGGTGCAAAGCAGCAGTGATTGATCACATATTTAATGAGCAGGCCAACAGGGGATGATCGCAAGGGCATCGCTGTGGCCTGGGCTCCTTCCCCGTGCGTTTCCTTGGCGAGCTAGTGCATGGAACAGCTGGAAATGTTGCTGCCGGAGCCACTTCTCCCCCAAACCCAAGGCTCCCTTTGTGCCCCGCTTCCAGCCGCGCTCACCCAGTCCAGCGGCCTGGCGGCCAAGTTTGTCATCCACTGCCACATGCCGCAGTGGGGCTCCGACAAGTGCGAGGAGCAGCTCGAGGAGACCGTCAAGAACTGCCTGGCGGCGGCCGAGGACAAGAAGCTCAAGTCGGTGGCGTTCCCCCCTTTCCCCAGCGGCAGGTACGAGCCCCTCTGCGTTAGGGGGACGGTCGTGTAAGGAGCCCAGCTCTGGGATGCGAAGGGGACCCGCTCTGGCCAGTGCTGGGTGCTCAACGCYGGAGTTTCAGGGGTGTTATTTGCCCCGAATGAGCAATTTGGGGTCTTCTCCTAAAGGGCGGCARCCCCTTGTGGTTAATCTCGTTAAAACTCAGTCTTACTGAGTTAAGACTGCACCGGCGTAATCCTGGAGGCAGCAAGAGCCAGGTAAACACAGGGTATTTGCTCAAGTCCTCGCAGCGCTTACATTAAGCAGACGAGTTGGGCAAACTGTTTTTCTGGAGAGGAGAATCACCCTCTTCCTCCTCAAACATAATGACGTGCCGAAAGGCCAAGCTCACATTGCGCTCGGTGGCTGGCAAATAAAGATGTGCTTGGCTAGGAAACCCAGGGCCGTCTGTTAAAGCTAATCCTGCTCCCTGGTCACGAGGCGTCTTGCACAAGCCCCGCTGACCGCAGGTGTGCTTTTCTTGTGGAGGTTGGCTCCAAAAGACTCCTGGCTCCTTGGAAATAGCCTGGCCGCTTTGGTTTGCGGCGCCCTAAGGGTGAGGGGCCTATCCCTGGTCGGGCTGTGCCGGCCCTGTGATGGAAAACTCAGAGCTTGGTCACGGAAATGGCCACTGAATAACCTGTTATTATTAAAGCCCAGCCCTTAAAATCGATTTTAACGGCAGCTTTTAGAGCAATAACRATAGACTCTGTCAAGCTGAGGGTCTCTTGTCTCGGAATAATCCAGTCCCAGGGAGAGCATCAGCAGATGCTCCTGATGCTTCGTGCCTTTTCACTCCCTATTGCTCTTAGAATTGCCCGTTTTSGAGAAGAACCAGGGCAGGTCTTGGCAGATGCTGCTCTTTTCCACTGTATTTATCAAGGACATCAGAGCTGCCTGAACACAAGGTGTTTTGAAGACTTTTAGAGTTTTTTCCAAAGGCCTTTCATGCTTTTGGAGTCACTTTATGGCAGCAAGTGAGGTCCAGAACCCTGCACGCCGCAGAACGGGCAGCACGTTGGCCCTTTGAGCCTCCCGAGCGCGTGGGGCTGCTGCCCGTCGCCGGCGCTCACCCCTTTCTCCCCTTCCCTTCCCGCACAGAAACTGCTTCCCGAAGCAGACGGCAGCCCAGGCGACTCTCCGCGCCATTTCCACCCACTTCGACGGCAGCACCTCCTCCTCCTTGAAGAACATCTACTTCTTGCTCTTCGACAGCGAAAGCATCGGCGTCTACGTGCAAGAAATGGCCAAGCTCGACGCCAAGTAGCCGCGGCCGCCCGACGAAACTTTTATTTTTCAGCACAAAACTTGAGTAGCGTCGCGAGCGGGAGGGGCGGCGTGGGGGGGGATGTTTATTTTTGCAGTGTGGGGAGGAAGGGGAGAGCTCGTAGTGTGAAGTGTCGTGACTCCGTGGAGAGCTGTTCCTAGCGCCGAGAGCGCTCCCGGCCCGGCCCGTCGCGCTGTCCGCGTCCTCCGCCCGCCCCGAGCGCCGGCGTTGCCAGCTCTTCCCGGGAGTTTTAGTGCCCCCTTGTTATTTTAGTTTAGGAGTTTTCGAGAGTAAGCGCGTTTTAGATTTGTAGCCATGGATTTTACACACGTGCCCACGCATCCACGTAAAAGAAAGCTCTTAAAAATGTTCTCCTCCCTTTTCCCCTGCCGTGAGGGTGGACGGTGAAGCCTCCAACCCGGGCTGGGGGCAAAAGGATTTTAGAAGGGACGCATGGGGAGCTTCTGTTTTACTTCCAACTCTCCATAACCTCTGTAATCCCTGAGACTATTTCATGGTGATTTTTTTTTTTTTTCCCCTGTTTGTTTTATAAGAAAAAAGCAGAAAGAGACGGTGTCGAGTGTGGTTATTGCCATAAACCCTCCTTTTGCTCCGGAGGCTGGCGGGCAGAGGCAGGGCAGACCGAACCAGCCGCGGCGGCTTTGGAAAAACGGGTGTTTATTGCTACAAATCGCAGCCGACCACAGCCCTGGCTCCGACCCGCCCGCGCGGGGAAGCGGGAGCACCCTGCCTGCCCTGCTCTTTCCCTCCGCTGCTTTTCCCATATTATTTTTCCCGTTCTTTTTACCGTTTTTCCCACGAGATGCCAATGCTTTTACCGTTTTGCCACGCTCTGCGGCAGCTCGTTTGGAAAACCCCTTCATCCCCTTCGCAGCAGCCCAGGACCCCCCTCCAACGCCCCGTGGTGGCCGGTGGCCTCAGGAGCAYCTCCGGGGGACAGTCCCAGTGTGCCCAGGAGCCGAAGGTCCCCCCGTGCCCCATTGCTACAGCCCCTGCAGGGCTGGGACCCCCACCCTAGTTGGGCATGGGCTGCCCCAAGGTCTTCCAGCTCTTGTGGACGAAGAGGTCGCGGCTCTTGGCGGTCGTCACCACGAGGCGCCCCACGTGGTAGCCGTTGATCTGCCCCACGCCGTCGTCCTTGCCCATGGAGAGCAGGAACGTTAGGGACCCTGGAAGAGGAGAGGGGAAGCGGAGCCGTTTCCAAGGTAGGTCTCCAACTTCTTGCCGTGTATCCCACGTGCTGTACGGCAGCTAAAAGAAGCTGGAATGGGGCAGACGCAGAGCCAAGGGGAAGGGCTTGGCCTGAGCCCGAGGGATGTGAAACCGCAGTGGGAAAAGTAGCCTGGGCAGTTGCTCAAGAGCTAAGGATCTGCCTAGTCATGGTCCCTTCTTATGCAACAGCCTGGGATGGAGGTTTAGCAAGGCCGGGTATCAGCTGCTGCCTAACGCGAGCAAGGGAGGAGAGGCCTTTGTTTGTTCCTAGGACTTAGGTGGATTGCACACGCCTTAAAGCAAACCCTTTTGGCAAACGGGAGAGGGCCACCGGTGGCTTGAGCAGCAAGATGTTAGTGGAGAAAGGCCGTGTTTAGCACATGGAGCGACTCGGACWGCTGACTCGGGCAGCGTCTTGGCTGGAACCAAGAGGAAGCCTGGACCGTGGCGCTCCCAAGAGCAGGTCCCTTCACTCCCGGGGCCGTTCCCTGCGGAAGAGGAGCCGAGTGGTTCCCACGCGGCCTCACCTGGTTGGTAGGCTTTGAGGGGCTTCTTCCTCAGGCTGTTGACGATGTTGGTGACGGCGACGTCGGCGTGCAGCCCGGCGTGGTAGGCCATCTTGGGCTCCCGCAGGTCCGCGCAGTCCCCGATGGCGTAGACGTTCTCGTAGCCTTCCAGCTGCAGGTGCTGGTTGACCCTCAGGGCGCCGTTGCTTGCCATTTTGTCCCCTGTTTTGACCAACGGTTGAGCTCTCATAAGGATTTTCGGAGTTCCTGTCATCTTCTGCACTAGGACACCAGGGTTCCTTGGAGGTGGGACTTACCAAACGCGCTGGCGTAGGCCGAGGAGTTGATCCTTATCCCCGTGCACGGGATGACCATGTCAACAGTCACCTCGGAGCCTCTTTCCGTCCGTACCACCATGTCCTTCTGGAAGCGGTTTAGAGTGAGCTCCTCCAGGTTGCTGACCCTGTCACCTGTGGTAACAGAGGCAGCTCGGGGTCACCAACCCTCACCGGATAGCCCGGGCATAGCTGGAAAAGCAGGAAACCCGAGGCAGCCGCACTCGGAAGCCAGGAAGGAGCACCGGGAGCAGGGAAGGAGCTCGAGGTCCGAGTGGCTACGTACTCAAGAGGAGGCGCACTCCTTTCCGGAGGAGAATCTCCTTGACCTCCTGCCGCACGCTGTGGAGCAGCTCCACGTCGGCCAGTGCCATCTTGGAGTGTATGAGGGTGACCTGGAGAGGACAAAGCAGCGACGCGGCGGGGACGTGTTGAACAAGAGACCGTCGGGACCGTCGCGGAGCAGCCTCCGCGAGGCCGGCGCCGCTACCTCCTTGGCCGGGTGCTCCGTCTTGATCTCGGCCGCCATCTCCACCCCAGCGGAGCCTCCTCCCACGACCAGGACGCGCGGGGACTTCTCGAGCTAGGGAGGTGGCGAGAGAGCGGGTGGGACGTCGGGGCCTCTCCCTCACGCCGATAACCCCCCCGGCTTGGAAAGCAGGAGGAGAAGCCCACGGAGGCTGCATCGAGGGCGGCAACGCAACCCAAGAAGGAGGAGGAAGAGGCTGGCTCCTCACCTCCTTGTTCATGTCCTCGTAGGCCTGGATGGCGCTTTCCATGTCGACCACCTTGTGGAACTTGCCGGGGAAGGGCCCGTCGCTGCCCGTGGCGAGAATGAGGTGGGAGTAGTGGAGCTCCTGAGGACACGGAGCGTGTTGGACCTCGTAAGGAGAGCCTAAAACACGGGCGTTCCCCCTGCGTGCTGTGCATTGACCTCCTCCTCCGGCTGGGAAACCATCCCCAGGGACTCCAGCTCCCGTTTGAGGGGCTCTTTTCCCATCAGCTTGGACAGGGGGTGGGCTGGGACGGGACCCCAGACCAGAGATGCTCTGGAGTCCGCAGATCCGCTGCCTGTGTTGTCTCCGGACGAATGGGAGGCCTGAGCACTAGGGGGTGCGCGACATTCCCTGCGCAATTCCGGCAGCGGGAGCGACGCTGCCGCTCCGTGCGCGCCGGAGGGTTCCGTGCACCCCCGCTCTTGGGGACGCCCCCATCCCGGAGCGCTTCCCGGAGCGGCGTGCGGCGCCGACACGAGCGGCCTCACCCGCCTGGCCGCCCATCGGGTGCAACGGGCGCCTCCCAAAAACAAATCCCGGGTCCAAAGGTTGCGCTCCGGCCTCCCCGAGGGCGTTTGCCGCAGCACGGCAGCGTTTCCAGCGCCCTCCTAGCCCCGCGTGGGGCCCACGGGGTGCCCCCGAGCAGGGGGGCCGGGCCGCTCGCTATGGGCTCGCTCACCTCGCCGCTGCTTAGCAGGACCTGCTGCCTCTCGGCGTCGATGCCCACGGCGTGGCCTTGGTGGAAGCTGTCGCCGAAGGCGGCGGCCAAGGAGATGAAGGTCTTCCTGGCAAACCCTGGGAAAGAGCGGCGTCCCCGCACACGCCGGGGTCACCCCACGCGCCGTGGGGCCGCCCCACGGCCCGGGGCGCGCGCGGCGGGGGCTCACCGCTCTGCGCGGCGGCGCGCAGGGCGCCCACGTTGTGGTGGAAGGCGTCGCGCGCGTCCACCAGCGCGAAGGGGAYGCCCCAGGAGCGCAGGCGGCCGGCGGCGGCGGCGCCGCCGAAGCCGCCCCCGAGCACCACGACGCGCACCGAGTCGTCCACGGAGAGCCCGGAGCCCATGGCGCCCGCTCCGCTCGGCTCCCCGCTCCGCTCGGAGCGCCCGTGACGCGGCCGGCGCCGGAGGCGGGACGAGGCGAGCGGCGCCGGGCCGCCCACGGCCACAGCGCCCTCCCGTCCGGGAAGGCTCCGGGAATCGGCTCCGCCGGGAAATGCAGCTGGGAGGCCTCCCACCGGAGCCTGCGTTCCCAAGGCGGCGTCTCCCACGCCATGATCCGAGCGGCCCCGCTSGGCTTCTCCGGCCCGGCACTGGGAAACCAACCCAGTTCGGAGCAGCTCCCGGCTCCTCCGCGCCCGCGCCGGAGGTTTCCCTTTGCTGTGTAAATGAGAGGGACCTTTAAACAACAAAGCCTTTTATTATCATCATCATCATCATCATTATTATTATTATTTATTATTGGTGTTTATTCTTTCTTCCCCTTCCCCCCCGCCACAAACAAAAGCCTCGTTTCCCACTTCCAGTTTTCCCGTGACCGCAGGACCTGCCCCGGGCAGGTTCCCGATTCGTGTGGGGCCATCATCGCGCGCGGCTCCTCCGCTTGGATGCGGATCCACCCCCTGCTCCGGGATAGGGATGCGGGAAAATCCCGGAGGGGCCGCGCGCCGCCTGAACGGAGCTTCGTCCGCCGCGGGGCCGCTCTTCCCTTGGTGGGGCGAGGAAGAGGGGGGGTCCTTCGTCCCCGGAGCGGGTGGGCGGGCGGCACAATAGTGTCCAGTGTCCTCGGAAAGCGACGGCCTCCCACACGGGCCGCTCCCGGGAGCGACTGCAGGATAAACACGGGGCCGGCACCGAAAATCAAGGCTGCCGTTTAACGGCGCGGCCCCCGCGCCGGCTTCGCCGCCCGCTCCCGGAGCCGGGATTATCCCTGGCAATCCCCTTAACCCGAGCAGGGCGCCCGGGAGTGCCCTCGGGAGCGCTCTCCCGCACCTCGGGCGCCCCCCGTTCCCTGGGGAGGCCCCATGGATCCCCCATGGGATCCCCCGTGGGCCGCCCTGCTCCCTTCCGCAGGCATCGCGGGCGCAGGCGATGCTTGGTGCAAAATTCCTGGTAATTCCGTGTCAAGCGAAGCGCCTCCGGATGGTGCTGGTGAGCAGCGGGATGCCCGGCAGAGATTCCCCATGGAGCAGCATCCCCTGCCCCAGGATGTGCCTGGGAAGGGGCGACATCCAGGTGCTGCAACCACGGGGATCCCTGCCGCTTTCCCAAATCCCGCCGTGCGTCTCTCCACCCGCCGATGCTTGGCTTTGGCCCTGACTCCTGATGCGTTTTCCCTCTTTTTTTCCCTAAAATAAATAACCCGCGGGCGGGACGGGCGCGCGGCGCCGCGCGGGAGCCTGGCGTCCCCACGAGGCTGGCGGCGCCCCGGGAGGCACTTGGGTGGCTACCCCAGGGTAGGCACTTGGGTTCCTTCGGGAACACGGCGGCTTTCCCGAGCCGGGCTCCGCGGSGAGGCGCCCGGGGCTCCGCGGAGGCGCGGGCGGCTACGCGAGCCAGGCGTCGGGCGCCTCCTCGAGCAGGCTGAGCGAGCGGTTGGCGAGCGCGGCGGCGCTGGGCGCCAGCTTGTAGCCGAAGAGGCGCATGGCGGGCGCGCACGCGTCCTGCACCACGCGCGCCAGCTTGAAGGGCATGCTGAAGCGCCACTTGTCCGGCTGCTCCGAGGAGTTCTTGCGCGTGGAGTAGACGCCGCTGGCGTCGCGCGGCGCCCGCGTGTTGGCGCCGATCCAGCGCTCCACCTGCGGCGTGAGGCGGATGCCGGCGAAGCGGTACATGGCGCGCGCCGTGCGCAGCGGCGCCCGCGCCACGTCCTCGTAGCGCACGAGCATGTAGCGGCCGCGCAGCCAGGCCGGGCGCCGCAGCCCCAGCTCGGCCGAGAGCCGCACGCTCTCGCAGTGGCCGCGCAGCCGCTGCACCTCGTCGGCGCGCAGCGGCGCCGCCGCCTCGGCCGCCCAGCGCTTCCAGGGCTCGTACTTGCCGGCGAAGGCCACCATGCGCGAGGCRAGCACGGCGCGCGGGTCGCGCACCAGCTGGATGATGCGCACGTCGAGGCGCGGGTCCTCCACGAGCGGCCGCAGGAACTCCAGCTGCCGCACGCGCACCGTCTTGAGCGCCAGGTGCTCCTTGCGGCGGCACGCCTCGGCCGCCAGCGTCACGTTGAGCGGCCCGCAGCGCCGCTCCTTGCAGTGGTACTTCTCGAAGACCTTGTCGGCGGCGGGCGTGCACACGGGCTCCTCGCAGAGCGAGCGGCTCGAGCCGCGGCGGAACATGAAGGGCGTGAGGTGGCCCTCGGGCGGCGGCGAGATGAAGCTCTCCAGCACGTAGAGGTCGCACAGGAAGAGCTGCTTGAGCACGTCGCGGTAGACGAGCGCCGAGCCGGCGGCGCTGGCGCCGCCCGCCTCGAAGCTCACCGTGCGCTCGATGTGCCACAGCGGCTCGAAGAGGTAGAAGATGTTGCCCTGCTGGTTGAAGAACTCGCCCACGAAGGAGGAGCCCGTGCGCGTGGTGGCCATGAGGAGCACGTGGCGCCGCGGCGCGGGCGCCGNCGAAGGCGCCGTCCAGCTCGCGCAGCGACGCCAGCGAGCCGTTCTCCGCCGCGGCGCTCGCCTCCGTGCCGTTGGCCTCCGCCGCCGGCGCCGGCCTCAGCCGCTCCGACACCCTGCGGGCAGCGAGCGGGGCCTTAGGACGGCTCCGTGGTCCGGAGCGGGACCTTAGGACGGGCTCGCGGCCCATGTCCCGGCGCGGAGCCGGCGCCGCTCGCCTACCTGGCGAGGAAGTTGTTCTCCCTGCCGATGACGACGAGGCCCACGACGCAGGCGAGCAGCACGGCGTACTTGCTCCTCATCCTTGCCGGCCGGGGGGGACGCGTGGCCCGCGGGCGGCTCCGGGCGCTACCCGGGAGGCATGTCCCGCGGGCGGGCGCCCGCTCTGCGGCCACAAGCGCCGCTTTGTGCGCGGGAACAGAGGCGCTCTGTGCGGGGCCCCGCGCCCCGGGACCCTGCCCGCGCCGCCTGATGCAATTCCGCAACAACTCCAACTCCTCACTCCATTTTCATCCCTTTTTTTTTTTTTTTTTCTTACCACCCCCAAGCAGCCACGTTGCTCCCTGCGGAGGGAAGCACAAAACGTGGCGCCTCTCGCCTTCTAGTTTTTCTTTCCAGGGCTCTTTCCCGAGGGAAGGGGGGAAGGAGGGAAGGGGGGACCCGGCGCCGGCCCCACACAAAGGGCCGCGCGGACACAAAGGAGGCGGCACCGGGGATGCGGATTGGGATGGGGATTGGGATGGGGGGTCCCGGCCGCCCCCCTCGCAACTTCCCGCCGGCGGCGGCGGCACCTACCGCGTCCCGCTGCTCGTCCGCAGGGCGCTGCCCCCCTTCCYYCCTCCCTCCTGCCTCCCTCCTTCCTCCCTCCTTCCTCCTCCTCCGAGCGGGGCGAGCGGGGCGGAGCCGGGGCCGCCCCCCGCCCGCTTCCATCCGCTCCGCTCCTCCCACGGGAGCCCCGCGAGGGGCCCCGGGAGCCCCGCGAGGGTCCCCGAGAGCCCCACGAGCCCCGTGAGGGTCCCCGAGAGCCCCACGAGCCCCATGAGGGGTGCCCGGCAGCCCCAAGAGCCCCATGAGGGTCCCCCGAAGCCCCGCAAGGGTCTCCAAGAGCCCCATGAGGGTCCCCAGGAGTCCTGAGAGCCCCAGGAGGGTCCCTGGGAGCCCCAGGAGGGTCCCTGAATGCCCCAAGAGCCCCATGAGGGTCCTCAAGAGCCCCAGATGGTCCCCAGGAGCCCCATGTGGGTCTCCATGAGCCCCAAGAGGGTCCCTGAGAGCCCCAGGAGCCCCAAGAGGGTCCCCGAGAGTCCCATGAGGGTCCTCAAGAGCCCTGGGAGCCCCAAGAGGGTCCCCGAGAGTCCCATGAGGGTCCTCAAGAGGGTCCCCGGGAGCACCATGAGGAACCCTGGGAGCCCCAGAGGGTCCCCAGGAGCTCGAGGAGCCCCAGGAGGGTCCCTGAAAGCCCCAAGAGCCCCATGAGGGTCCTCAAGAGCCCCAGATGGTCCCCAGTAGCCCTATGTGGGTCCCCGAGAGCCCCAGGAGCCCCAAGAGGGTCCCCGAGAGTCCCATGAGGGTCCTCAAGAGCCCTGGGAGCCCCATGAGGGTCCCTGGGAGTCCCAGGAGCCCCATGAAGATCCCTGGGAGCCTTGGAGGGTCCCCGAGAGCCCTGGGAGTGCCAAGAGGGTCCCTGGGCGCCCCGTGTCTTCAGGACCCCAGACGGTCCCCAGGAGCCCCATGAGGATCCCCAAGAGCCCCTGGAGCACCATGAGGATCCCCAAGAGCCCCATGAGGATCCCCAAGAGCCCCGGGAGAACCATGAGGGTCCCCGGGAGCCCCATGAGGATCCCCAAGAGCCCCTGGAGCCCCATGAGGGTCCCCAGGAGCCCCCCGAGGGTCCCCACTTTGCAGCCACCCCGTCGCGCCCCACCACCCCGCCCGCTTCCCAGGGCCGAATCCCGGGATCCCTGCGGCTCCGGAGGCGCCTCCCGGGCAGCGGGAGCGGGTCAGGGAGGCCCATGTGGAGCCCCAGGGCCTCAGCCCCGCGGCCCCTTCCCCTTTCGCTTCTGCTTCGGCCGAGGGATGGGGCGAGCGCTGCTCTCCTCGGATACAAACACATAAAACCGGGGCGAACTCCGAGCCCTGGAGGCAGGGAAGAGCAGCCGCTTGGGAGCCAACRTTATTATTATTTCTTTTTTTTTACGGCATTATTGTTTTTTATTCACGGCTTCCAAGCGCCCCGGGGTTAATCAGGTCTCGTTGGCGGAGCTGTCACAGGAGCACAGGGGAAAACAGCCGCCTCGGGGCACCGTCCCGGCACAGCAGACACGGAAACGTGCGGAATTCAGCCCCGCCTAAGCCGGCAGAGGCCGAACGCAGCTCGTGACACGTGTGGGCACAAACCCGCCTCCCTATACACCCGCAGCACCGCCCGTTTCGCAGCCGCTGCCGGACGAGGGGCGCAGTGTGGCACAGACAAGCGCGGAGCTGCCGGCTCGGGCGCTATGGGCGAAGCGGCGCCTCCCTGGGCCCTTTCCAGCCCCGCGGGCACCTCCATGGCAGCGCCCCCCCCATCCCCTCCCTCATGGCGGCGGGAGCGAGGGCGGGAAGCGGCCGCCGCCCTCTGCGCATGCGCGGCGCGCTCCCCCCTCCTCCCCCCTCCCCGCCGCTGAATCAGCGTCACGCGGCGCGGCGCGCATGCGCCGGGCGGGGTGGGGGGGGGCGGTGTTGGGGGGTGCGCATGCGCGTGCGCGGCGGCGGGCGGCGCCGCCTATAAATAGGGGCTGCGCGGCGCGCGGCGCCGCATTGCAGGCAGGATGGCGCGGCGGCTGCTCGCCCTGCTCGCGCTCCCCGCGCTCCTCGCGGCCGGTAAGGCGGCCCCGGCGGGCGGCCCGGCCCGCCGGGTAACGGCTCCGAGGGGCGGGTGTGGGGAGAGCCGGGCCTKGTGGGGCCCCCGGGGCTAACGGTGCCTGGGGCGGGGGGGATCCTGGAGAAACCGCCCTGTTCCCGCAGGGATTCCTTGTTTTGGGAGCCGTGCTGTGTCAGCAGGGCGCCCTGCGGCCGGCTGAGTAGGTCAGTGTGACCYCCCGGGCCCCTGCGTGTGGTGGGGACGGTGTTTCCCTCGGGGAGCCCGCAGGCCTCGGGCCTGGCCGGGCCCKTGGAGGGCAGCAGGGCGCCGAGCTGCTACCGGGGGCACGGGAATATCCCCCCGTTTGGCGTCTCCAGCGATGCCACAGGGATACCCGTGGTGGATATCTGCCCCCTGCCTCGCTGCTGGAGGTGGTGGGGGGAAAACGGCGTTCCCTTTTGTGTCTGGCGGGTAGAAAAGCCCCCGTTGGTGTTTTGGGCTCTCCAGTAACCATTTGTGGCAGCAGAGGTGCTCTTTGGACAGCCCTGGCCTTGCGGAAGTTCACGGARTCGTCCCCACAAGTGTCGGAAAGTTAAAGCAGGTGACGCTCCGGTCGCCTGGTTCCCTGGTCGTTCCCCATGGGAGACTCATTTGTGCTCGCCTTTTTGCCCAAGAGTTSAGCTCCCCGCCTGCGTTTAGTGCCAGGCAGCCAGAAAAGAGCCACCTTATCAGTTTGGGAAGCGCAGGAGTAAGGAGGTGAGGGAATAAGGCGTGCAGCTGGTCAGTGGTGTGGTGTTTAAGGAAGCACTGCCTATATATTGATAACTGGATGCAGAATCTCGGCCTGGAAGCGAGGGAGCAAATCTGACACCCTGCTTATTTACCTTAATGTGCTATGGCTGGTGTTGCCAGCACTTAGTTTGGTGCTGTCAGTTGCTTTTATTAGGGGTGTTTTCAAGCTGCTAAAGCAGGTGTAACGTTGTGCCTTGGACGAGAAGGGTTTGGCTCGGAGTGTTGCCCGGTTTCGCTTTGGTGCATTTGAGGAAATGGAAATGAGAAMCGAGTTGAGCCGTAACAGTTAGCTTGGCCTGCTGGCTAGGAGGCATGTGCAGCAAGCTGAAGACTTGCTGGGCTTGTCCTTCTTCAGGAACCACTGCTTTAATACACACAGCGGTGGGTTTTGCTCCCCGGGATCTGTTAAGACTCTCTGACTCGCCTATAGTGGGATCGTGGAGTTTGCCCTATAGGTTTTGCTGTTGCACCCCCAAAATAACGATTTTGTGTTTTTTCTATCAAATTAGCTGCATCAAAACCAAGCAACTTCTGTTGTAGCTTAATGGAGGCACTTGGCTGGCCAGGGCTGACCTACTTAGAGGGCTCCTGTGCATCTTCCCTTTAAAGGAGGCTCGGTGGAATTAAAAAGCGGAGCACAGAGCTCTGGTGAGACCTCAGGACTACCAATGTGGGGTTTTGTGCCGGTATTGACACCAGGAAAAAGAGGGTCAGGAGGCCTAGTTGTAACAGAAGCCAGTTGCTCTGTGCTGGAAATAGTTTGCTTGTTTTCTCCTGGTAAAATAAACCAGCTACATTTTTTTTTTATTGCTTGCAGAAGAAATAAAATTACTTCCCTTTGTGTTTAAAGGCACTGAACAAACAGTTGGATAGTTAGAGCTCTCAAGTGAGATGTTTTAACCCGTTCTGCAGAGCTCTGCTGTAGCCTGTTTGCACTCTCATTCTGTGCCGTTTTGAGCATCAAAACGGGTCATGAGCAGCTCAGAAGGTCTCTAAGATAAAGCAGAAGTCACGGGTGGTGGGACAGGAGCAAGASGAAGATTGTTAACCAAAACTGAACAATATCTGCCCGTTGTGTGACTCCTGCTAGCRGGGATTCTCCAGGGGGCTGCACCTCAAACAGAGGAGCTGAAAGGGACTTTTCTGCTTGGTATCAGTGGGGAAATAAAAAGCAGTAGCAGCAGGTTCTTGTGGTTGATCTGATCCTTCCGAGCAGGCTTAAAAGCACATGACAAAGCAAGAAACCTTCTCGTGTTCTCCTTTGTGCAGCAGCCTGTGGTAATTGATTTCTCATTAGGATTGAAGACCTCCTACGTAAGGGGACGCACACTCAGGAGATGGGCATGCAAATTAAAATAATGTTTGGGTGTCGGGCTGCARAATTTCRGRTATTAGTGCTTCCCTGGAAGCGAGYTTGTGCTCCTTACCCTGACTTTTTATTAAACACTGTTCTGTAGAAACTGTGCGGCTCCGGTGTGACGCTGCTGAGCCCATCACAGAGCTTTCATTAAAAGCATTTTTGCTCTGGGATTTCAACCCATGATCTCCCACTGSAGCAGCATTCACAGCCATCGCAATATTGATGCGTATTTTCAGTAGCTCCGGTATTCCAGCAGCACTTGGCTAAGCAATTCCTTTCAAACTTCGGGAAAAGAGCGTTTTTGCAACGCTGCCTTCTCTTGTGCAAGCGCTAAGGAGTAAGCTGCCCCCCAAATCAGTAGAGACAGTGCTTCAGTAGTAAAAAGCTGACCTTGCTGCTCTGCTATCGTGGGTTTTGTTGCAATTGTTTGCATGTACACAGGACTGTGCCTCATACCACGCTTATCTCCTGCTGAGGGAAGCCAGGAAGCGTCTGGGAGTGTGTGATCAGTGTTTTGCAGCAGGGTAATGTATCAGCATGGGGATGCACCCCCCTCTGGGAGGCGAACCCCACCGTGGGCTGCACATAATCACTAGCTCCATGGTCGTTTTGCCCTCTTATTAATTCCAAAGTGTGCCAGAAGTTAGGATTGCTGGGAGTTACTGGCATGTGACATGCTTACAACTTGTCAAATGCCACTAAACCCCCTTGCTCTTGAGAGCCTGTGGAGTAATCAGCCCTTCAGACAGGGTGAAGGTCACTCCTTGGCTTGCTGACACTTGCAAGATGTGGTGAGGAGAAGTAAATCCCACTTCGCTTTGGATTGTGGCCGCGCTTCCCATTTGCAGCCCCTGGAAGAAATGGGGAAGTCGGCAAACGACTGACTCACTAATGGGGTAGATTGATAGTCGTGTGGCCTGTGGGTGGTTGGGGCCATTACATTTGACACTGTCGAGTGGAGACAAACGTGGGAAAAGAGCCTCTCACCTGGTAAATTCTGATAGACTGGGAACAAAGCAGTTTGAGTCCTCTCAGGTTTGCCTCCAGAAACAAATGACTGTTTGCTTTTCCTGCCGTTTGCATTTTGCTTTTAAGAAACTAAGACTATAGCAGGACCCTAGGGTGACTCTTGATCCTCTGCCTGGCTAGAAAGACACAAAAATTAGGAAGTTTTTGAGATCTCAAAGCACTTTCAATTTGGGACGTGGAGGGTGCTTTCAGGCCCCAAACTATCCGTCTTCCTCCTGTTTGGTTTCAGTGTTGGATATATCAGAAATGCTTGCCGGAGTCGGGCTCCTTTTTGAAATGGAAGGAACCAGGTCTGAAGGAGGTCAAGGGGGGATAAATGATCCAAGGGAGGGCTGAAACACCCCGGCCTTCAGATAAACTTGTTTGGCAGCCAAAAATAGCAGCTAAGAGCCTGGGGAAGGCGGGGGGCGGGTTTGGGTGGACGTAGCACATGACTGGAGAGCTAATCAACATGGAAAGGAGAAATCTATTTWAAAAGGGATGACCTCGAGCAGGTAGAGAACAATGCCTGAAACAACGGGATGCCGGAGACCTAAGACAGTAATCCCATTGGGTTTATCCAGCAAGCATTAGGAGCTGTTTGAGGTAATGGAGCGGGCTTTGTTTTCCCTTGGTTTGTTGCTGCGCAGGGATGTGATGGGAAATGACCTGCTGAGACTTCCCTCTTAGGGAAGAGGGAATCGGAGAATCCTTCCGTTAGGGATTCCAAACTGGGAGTCCTTCCTTCTGCTGTGCGCCTGTCGTCTTCACACTCGCGTGGCTCTCTGTGTTATGACATGAGTGACAACCCAAAGGAAAAGGCAAAAATACTGTCTCCAAACTGCAATGGAGGCAGCAGCTAAAGGCAAAAGCAGCAGAGGGCGGGAAATCTGCAAAACCCCAATGAATGCRTTTCTTGTTCCTTGCACATTCGGAAAGGGAGGCTGCATAATGCTGTGGTGAAGATGCACCTTGAGATGGTGTTACATAACACCCCCAGTGCATTAGAGAGCCATGCAGGCTTAACTCGGTCACTGCAGGGAATCTGTTGCCTTCCCTGGCAGAAAAAGCACGTGGRTATCTTAGCACTTCCCTTTTCTTGCTGTTATAGTCAGGAGCGGGGACTTGAAATCATCTTTGGGGAGTTCTTGTGCCCCTGGAAGCTTTTTGCCTCCTCGCTGCCTTGCAGGAAGGTGCCTGAGGCCTCTCGCGCTGCCCGGCTCCTCTCGGCGTCGTGGTCGGTGTCCCTTGTCCCCGTGCTCAGCACGGCGCTGTCCTCAGACCTGGAGCTGGCCCGGGAGCAGAACGCACCTCTGTCAGCTCCAGCATCGAGAACTTGCCCTTTCTGGTGAAACTTCTGACGCAGGGACAACAGAGGCATAAATTACTTGATATCTTCAGAGATTCATTCTAATATTAACCCCTTTTTTGTCTGGAACAGGATAATCTACAACCTGTAGCACAGAGGGTATCAACTGCTGCTTTGCTCTTTGGTTCCTTCTCTGTGAGCATCATAAATTTAAACTCTGTCCTGCCCATATCACTTGGTCTTTCCTGGCAGAGCAGGCTGTTAATGACTGCTCTTAATTGCAGGCTGTGGCAGATTTCACCTGGGCCTGTGAGTGCTCTGGGTTAAAAGCTGTTTCTTCAYGGGGTAGCGCAACCCCAGGAGAGGCTGCTAAGCAAACCCTGCTCACTCTCGGACAAAACAGCTRTAGGCAATAGGGAAAAACTGGGTGTCCGGCCTGCGTGAATCAGCACAAAAGCTCCACGGCTTGGGCTTGCCCTGGTGCTGATAGTGCAGCTCACTCACCCTTCCTTAAGGGCGGCCGGGGTAGTTGTCTGTGTTTTCCTTCTCAGTGTCGTGGGGTGCAAGGCAGTTTGGCGTGGGAGGTGGTGTAAGTGCCTTATGTGTTAAAATCTGCTTCTCTGCAGGGATAGCGCTGGCTTAATCTTTGTCTTAAGTAAACGCTGGTATTGTGTCAAAGCAGAGGTGCCAGAGGAAAGCTGGGGAGTTTGGAGATTAAGGCTTGGCAAAGCAGCCAGGTTTTGCGATTTCTGACGTCACCTGCAGATCAGCGTTAGGGCTAACCCCATCCTTGTCACCTTGGAGCCCATTGAAGAGAAGGGGCTCGGAGCCAGCAAAGTGTCCCAGATGTAGGTGGCCGTCTTCAGAAGTGGCTTTCCAAAGGAAAGTGATCCTGCTGCTGTACTGGAATAACCTGTCTTAAAGATGCCCTGCATGGGTGAATAGCATATTCAAATAACACTAGGTAACTTTATACTGGTTAATCCACCAGGAAACCACTGCTGTCGGAAGCAAGGGCTTGCTCTCTGTTCACAGTAGGCAAGAAGAAACAGTCTGAATGTGCTCTAGGTGATAAAACACCCCCGTGCTTTCTGTCTCCTTGACTTTGCCTGCAAGCTGCTGCAGTCTGTGCGTGGTTTTTCTGTTCTCCACGCGGTGTGTTGGGGCCTGTACTCAAATTAACGTGTGCAGGTGGCTGTGCTCGGCCAGATGTGACTGCAGGTTGGGTGCTGGTGACTGCATGGACAGTAGGGCAAGGACCAGGGCTCTTACTGGGGGGCACCAGCTGAACTGGGCACTTCTGCAGGGAGCACCCTCTAATTCACGACGCCCGGTAGCCTGTTCTCCATGCGAGTGGCCTAAGGGAAATTCCCCGTGCCCTTTGTGGTGGATATCCCTGCAGAGTGCCATTTAATCCCCTTTTCCCCCCGTTGCAGCTGCGGCGAGCCCGCTGGCGTGGCAGAAGGACTGCGCGCAGGGCCCCGAGGTGTGGTGCCGGAGCCTGCGCGCGGCGGCGCGCTGCGGCGCCCTCAAGCACTGCCAGCAGACCGTGTGGAGCAAGCCCTCCGTGGTAAGCATCGCCTCCCGGGGCTCCCCTGCAGCTCGGGGCTGCTTTCCCCACACTGCTGCCTCTTCCCAAGGCTCTCGTGGGGTGGAGGGCTGCATCTGAGCACGCCTCGGTGCTGTGTTTTGACCTGTTCCACCGTGTGAGCGTTAGGTGGAATGGAGCTGGTGATCTTCCAGGTTCAGTCCTCATATCTGTAATCCAAAATCTTTTGATTCTTACATGGAGCCACCCCACGCTGATGTTGCTATCACAGAATAGTTGAGGTTGGAAGGGACCTCTAGAGATCATCTAGTCCAACCGSCCCTGCTCCAGCAGGGACACGCAGAGCACGGGGCACAAGGTCCCATCCAGGCGGGTTTTGAAGACCTCCAGAGCAGGAGACTCCACAGCCTCCCTGGGCAGCCTGTGCCAGGGCTCTGTCACCCTCACAGGAAAGAAATTCCTCCTCACATGGAGATGGGACTGCCTGGGTTTCATCTTGTACCCATTGCCCCTTGTCCTGTCACTGGGCACCACTGAGAAGAGCTTGGTTCCTTCCTCCCTGCATTCCCCCTTCATGAACTTATACACGTTAATCACATGCCCTCTCAGCCCTCTCTTCTCCAGAGAATTACAATAAATATATAAGTATCTTCAGTCTTTCCTGTGAGGTTATATTTCAGAAGATGTACTCTATACTAAATCATGAATAATGACTGCCTTTAATGCCTTTTTCAGGTCAATTTGTACTAAATGCAAGTTCTCCTTTACTGGATGCAAACYCTGGGTTTGCTGCATGGCTTCCTAGACTCTAGGGGAGTGCATTTAAATAGATGGAATCAGCTTTGCATATCTGGCTACGGAAAAGCAGGAGTAGGAACCTGTTAGCTTGGCAGAACGCTATTTAAATGCATGAGGCTGAGAAGTTCCTGTGTTTAAAGTGCAGGTCAACTTGGATGCCAATTTCTGGGGCTTTTAGGGGGAAAGTTGTGCTCAGTCCTCTGTTGGACTGCAAATTTGGGTTCTTGACTCTACTGCAAGTTGCACTTTGYGCAAAATCCTGAAATAGTTTCATGTAAACTCCTTATTACTCTCGTCCCAGGATTTTGGAAAGCTGGTTGGTCAAGGATCAAGGGTAAAACAGGTTCAGAGAAGGTCCTCAGGGCAGAATACTTCAGGCTGCATGTGACAAGCTGCTGAACTTTCCTGCAGCACAGAATTAAGGGGGAAAAGGCAMGTGGTAACGTGCTTGGTTGCTCATTTTGTGCTGATTTACTGAAGAAATTGGAGGTAGATGTGTTTGAAACAGCTTTCCCCCCTGCAGCTTCAGCCAGTATTTCTTTCATTTTGTTTCTTGTTTGATCTTCRCCTTCTGCCTCCTTATTTAGGTGCTACCTTGATGTGCTTAGCTGTGTCCAAGAGTAACCCTCTCCTCCTCTCCCTAGAACAGTATCCCCTGCGACTTGTGCAAGGAGCTGGTGACAGTGGCTGGCAAGGTTTTGAAGGACAATGGCACGGAGGTAAGCAGAGCTCCCCTTCTGCCTCCAAAAGTGGCTTCCTCCCCTCAAGATCTCAAGAGGGGCTAGAAGAGCAATCTCTATTTTGCTAATCCTGTGTRTTTTGGCTCCTTCCAACATTTCACTGTTTAGGTAAAGCCTTTATAGTCTGGTCTAGACTAGCAAATGCTGGTGTTAGTTGGTAGCACATCCGTGATGGAATGTTTCCTTCAATTGTTTGTGTGCCAGGGGGTCATTAATCCTAGAGTACTTCAGTCTTTAGAAGTGAATGACTGTATAACATAAAGTAGACTCTGTTGGAGTTGCATGACTTCTCCCCTTGTTCTGTTGTGAGCACAGAGCACTTGTAAACCCTGTCCCTCCAATCTGCAACTTCACCTCTTGTGTTTAAATGGAATATGGTAGTGGAGCTTTGGTGGCCAGGCCTTGCGAGAAGAACCTTTGGTTTTGTCTTTGTCAAGATCTCGCTGAAGGCTGATGTCTAGAGAACCTCCTTCTGGTTTTGCTTGTCCGTGGTCTTGGCCTACCCGAGTCCTGGGCCTTCTCATGCCTTTTGAGAACACAAGGAGCTCTTCTGGTGTCCTCAGAGTCTGATCTCCTTTCTGCTCCAGGATGAGATCCGCTCTTACTTGGAGAAGACGTGTGAGTTTCTTCCTGACCAGAGCCTGGTCTCTGAATGCAAAGAAATTGTGGATTCCTACCTGCCCGTCATCATGGATATGATCAAGGAAGAGCTGGTAAGTAGAGAGCTCCAGTGCTTACAGATTGTTGGAAACTGAACCCCTGTTGATGTCCAAGTTGCCCTGTTGATGCAGTTAAATTTATCAGGTCCTCTAAGCCAGTAGATAAAGACCTGCCTTTATTTAATCTGGGGCTCTGTTCTCTTTTTGTTTACGGGGAAGAACAGTTGTTTAATGCTTCAGATGAGCCCGTTGAGTCACTAAAGAACGCTTTAGATCTCTGAAAGTTGCTACAGAAAATATTTTGAAGTTCTCTTTGTGGAGATGAACCCTGGGAATTCTGAGGAAAACWCTTGAAATGCGAAGACTTTTCTGTGGGATTGGCTTTGTGTCGCGCTTGCARAGCTGAATAACTAAATGTCAGGGTGTTATTCATGTAGAGCTTTCTGCTTCTCCTGTGTTCCTCAGGACAAACCCGAGGTAGTTTGCAGCGCCCTGTCGTTGTGCCAGTCCCTTCAGAAGCACCTCGCAGCCATGAAGCTTCAGAAGCAGCTCCAGTCCAATAAGATACCAGAGCTGGACTTCTCCGAACTGGCCTCTCCCTTCATGGCTAACGTGCCTCTTCTCCTGTACCCTCAGGACAAACCCAAGCAGGAGTCCAAGGTGAGGGGGCTGCAACGTCAGCGTGTGAGAATTAATGTTTTCCAGAGCTTTAGTATTCCTTTGTGCAAGAGCTTATGGAGGATTATAAGTAATGGGTTACCTTGCTAGACTCGGATTAAGCCACGTGTTTCATTTGGGTCCTGTCCCGTGGTGAATATTTTGCTGCTCCTTGTAGACTGTAAACTTTTTCCTAGCCTCTGTGTTTAAAGATAAGCTAAATAAGACGAAAGCTGCAGCCACTATAGGTTGTAGACATAGACTGCAGTTCTTAAGGCAAGTCTTAGGCTGGGCTATTCCCATCCCCAGCTGTGGTAGTCGAGCAGGTCTTACTGGAAATGACTTCTTTCAAATGCAGCTTTGGCATCGCTTCCCAGGGCACTCGTCTGCATCCTAATGAATGTTTTGGTTTCTTCCTCCGGAGGAAGTGCTCGTCTCCGAATCCAGGGAGGACAAACTGGATGGGAAAAGAACCAGAAAGCTCCTGGGGGAGATGAACGRGACAACCTGCCAAGTATAGGCTGAGTCTTGATGATAAGCTTGAGTTGGGAGGAGGCAGTTGAGTGGGCAGAGAGTGCTGCTGTGCAGTGTTCCTGCTCTGCGTGGAGCAGATGGATCTATCCCAAGTAGAGAAGCTTTTCTCCTTAGTGAAAAACCAAGGGATTTTGAGGATCAGGCGGCTTATCTGGGGATTCAGAGCTGAGCAGGTGCCTCATCCCCATCTAGTGGCKGGTGTGCATATGACCAGCTACCAGGGCCTTGGGTTTTCGTGTTAGCTCAGGCTTTAAAGCCTTCTCCGAGGGGTTGTCCGAGTGCTTTTACATATCAGCTAAAGATGCCTCTTCAARCGTAGTGGGAAACGATGCCTGCGAGTGCGTGCTGTGGAGACTTGCCAATTTGTTCCCTTTCCTCCTTCGCCCAGGGCACTGGCGATGTGTGCAGAGACTGCATCCAGCTCGTTACGGACCTGCAGGAGGCCGTGAGGACCAACGCCTCCTTTGTGAAGTCCTTGGTGGCCCACGCCAAGGACGAGTGCGACCGCCTGGGACCTGGCATGTCTGACATGGTAATGCCTGGTGTGGAGGGGACGTGGCCTTCCCGAAAGAGAAGGTCTTATGTAGGGACCAGCTGGTGCCTTGCTCCCCTCAATGTAGTTCCTATTTAATGCAACGAAGGAGTCTTTTGCACGCAGTGCAATGGCAAAAACTGCAAAAGTAGCAAGGTCGGAGGGAGAAAACTTGAATTTCTGCTCATCCTTAAGGGCATCTGTCATAAAAAGACCTGCCAGGGCGATGTGGTAATATTGTTTGGGGCCRGAGAAGGGTCACGGGATGAGCAGCATTGCAATGTGCTCGAGTGGCACGAAACACCATGGCCTATTTGGGGCAAGCCCTACGTGCTTATTTAGCAGGACAGGTAAATGAATACCTTGGAAAGCGTAAGGGGAATTTTAACTGTACCCTGATAACTCACAGCAGTGTTTTCGTCCCCCTTCCTGCAGTGCAAGAGCTACATCTCTGAGTATTCAGACTTGGCCATCCAAATGATGATGCACATGGTAAGTTSAGCAGAAGTTGGTGTTTGCTCTTAGCTCGCTTCTGCTCTGCGTAGCTAACTTATTAAGAAACAAACACCTAATTTTACAATAAACCTCTGGGGAGTGCTCTGGGTCTAGGTCTTTAGTATGAAGTGTATGAACTTGGCGTTTATTGAACAGCAGATTTGGTCTAAGGATGTGTACTTGAGCACTCTTCGTTCACAGCCATTTAACAGCCCGAAAGACTAGTCCTTTGAGACAGTACAAGTGTGTTTTTCCTATATCCATTATCTGTCCCTTGTATCAAGTCCCTTTTATCTTCAAAATACTAGCTGAGCATGTGGGAAATAGTCTGATGTGGCAGTTGGAAATGATCCTAAACCTCACTTCAAGTCTGCTGCTTTTTGGGCTTTTGGTAGGAGCAATGGGGYGTGAGTAGCAGCAGTTCTGGTCTTGTGCAGCAATATATTTTGCCTCTGACCATTTCTGTAGTGCCTTTTTTCCCCCCTGATATTTCAAAGCCATTTAAAAGASAGTAAACTTATCCTTGAGGGATACAGTCTTGAATTTTCCCCAAGTAACCTAGCAAGTTACTGGTGGATTCACACACGGAGTGTGTGGTTCACTTGCACACTTGCCTCAGACTGTGTGTCCAGGCTTTGAAGGGCTTCCCATGTGATTTGGTTGTCCAAATTGGAGCTTGAGGGTAACTGCACTGTGTATSCAGCCTGATTTAAGTGTGGGGAGTCTCCCCAGCACTGCCCAAGTTGGGGTGCCAGATCTCTGGGGTGGGCAGCACCTATTTCCCCCTTCATGGAAAGAGTGGATGTGGTGCAAATGCTTTTTTTTTCTTAACTTGTTTCTGATTTCTCCTGTCTTTCTGTCTCCCATCTCCTCTGTCAACAGAAGGATCAGGTAGGTGAGCAACTGCCTGTGATGCCCCCCCCTTGCTTTCCTGTTAAAGGGCTTGTAGTTTTACTCACTCATAGTTGTGCACATGGTGTGACTGTACTCAGTTTTGACAGATACAAGGGGTCCTTGCAGGGTTAAAGTAGAGAAAGAACAAGAGACTTCCTTTAGAGAATCAGTTCTGTTCCCAACTCCAGCTTGTGATGCAGAGACTTAAGCCTGATCGTGGCTTGGCCAGCGGAGCAGAAAATACAATGATTTTTGTGTGAGAAAAGTGTGGCAAATGTAGCCAGGRGCTCGTGTCAGCTTCTGGCTTGAAGTTGGGGGTCAAAGGGGCTCTAGTGAAGCTGTTCCTGGCTCTTCTGTCGGGTGAGTTTAAAACTAGGTTGATATAATGGTCAAGAAGATATGATTTAAAAAAAGGGACGTAGGAGGCCTTTAGGCTCCTGCCTCCTCAAACTGTTCAGGCTTTTGATGACCCCAGTTCTGGGGGACCTTGTGTCTGTCATCTCTCYGTGAGGCTGGGTGTGTGTGGTGGTGCTGTGGCATTAATAGCTGGGGGTGCTTGTTGTGGTGCATGCAGCAAAGGGCTTGACTTAAAGGTACTGCCCGGAGCAGCTGCTGTGTTGGAGCTGCTGCTCTGGCCCCTGCATGAGGCTACGGCACGATGCATAAACACAACCAACCCTCTGCTTGTTGTCTCGGTGGGAGGTGACCTGCAGCACTGAAAGAGCAGCCTTTCCAGGGGGAAACTCCCAAGTTTGAGGCATTTCTCAGCCTTTCTCACTTCATATACGGGGATAATGTGGCCTCTTGCAGTGGCTTGCCTTGTGTCTTCAGTGCTCTCTCTGCTCAGTGGTGTTCTCAAACCCTTGAGAGGGWCTCAAAGCCCTCTGAGGGACTTTGCTGGTTCTTACCTATGAGAAGAACACCCCATACTACTTCTGTAGGCCCTGGTAGGGAGGACACTCCTGCAGGACTGGCTCTTAATGGGGGYATCTCCTTTCGGATAGGCTGTGGTGAGTTCACATGCAGGAATGTGAAGYAGCCCTCCTACACACCTCAAAGAAGGTCATTGGTGGATGGGAAGGCTCTTCCAGGCATTTCTCTTTGCTTGGGTGACCCCCGATGTCAGGATAACTCAGCATCTTCTGTGAGAGCTTGAGGATGGAGGGGAGTAGCTTCACGGATGGGCTCAGACGTGGTGGTGGCCTGTCAGGTGCTGGTGGTTTTTTAAGTCAGCTCCTTTGTGGGGGGCTCTCCTGCCCTGTTAGCTCCTGGGTTTCAATGGATGTGACCTAACCTCTTCCTAAAACTGCTTAATGAAACTAGGAGCTGCACCTGGTCCTACCTGCAACCATATCCAGTGCTGCTTCCTCACTGTGTGAAGTAGTAGTAGCCTTGAAACACAGGCTGTCGTGGAGCCTTTTAAAGCTATGGTGTGGTCACCCAGGCCCTTTGACCCATTATGCTTTTCTTTCCAGCAACCGAAGGACATTTGTGCCATGGTTGGGTTCTGTCCTTCCCTGAAATCCGTTCCTCTTCAGAAGCTGGTGCCAGCTCAAGTGGTTCAAGAGGTGAAAATGGAGACTGTGGAGGTAAGACAGCTGCCTTGGCCCGGTTTGCACAGCTCTGTGGTCCTTACTGCTTTGCTGTGATACACGAGATGAAGCAGAAAAGTAGACCTGAGACTATAGTATCTCTAGTCCAAGCCACAAAATCATGGTGGCTTCCTGTGAGGTGGAAAAGCAGACTGGTTTGTGTGGAATAGCAGAGCCATAAGGTATTATATAAGGATAAAACGCCCTAGTTTCCCACAGCCTTTGGCTTGAAGCGTGCCAGGATTTTCCAAAGCCCCCTTTTTGAGGACAGCTTTAGCCTCTGGTTAAGTGACTCGGAATGGGCTCTCCAAATCCCTCTGTTTCTTGGCCGCTTGTGCGAGCAGAAGGGAGCTCTCTGCTCGAAAGTGCTCTTAACTAAAGAGCACCACAAACAGCCAAGAAACAAAGCGCTGCTTCCCACTTCTCKTCAGGCACTGTGGCTATCATTATTTTTCCATGTCTAGAGGATTCAAACCCCTTAAATGACCAAGGTGCCTCGATTAAGGCTACAAAACACTGCTCACTCACAAAGGTGCGTTGTTACCGAGATCTTTGGGGCTTTTGTGATCTCCTGAGTCCAGCTCAAATTGGCTGGGCGAGCCACGATGCTTGGGCTGAAGCTAAATGCTCTTAGAGCCTTAGTCACCCGCACCAGCTGCGCTCGAGTGTTGACCTAGTGCTTTCTAAATATTATCTTTGTTCTGTAACGCTGCAGAAGACAGCAGCTCAGGAGAAGGCTCTTTCTGTGTGCGAAATATGTGAGACGGTGGTGAAGGAAGTGACTGGCCTGCTGGAGAGCAACAAGACAGAGGTGCGTAAGAGCGGGGAACAGGGGCCCTTTCACTGCTCTGCCTAGGACGGTGCTGTTGGGGGRGGAAACTACTTCATTTAGTGCCTCTTTTCCCGCCGTTGAAGCGGGTGCTGTCCCGCAAATAACTGAGCAAACGTACCCAAAATTGGCCTCGTGTCTGATTCCTGCTGCTCTGTGTGCCCTGCCTCCTTGCTCGTGCCCAGGAGGAGATCGTGCACGAGATGGAGGTGGTCTGCTACCTGTTCCCGGCGAGCGTCAGGGACCAGTGCAAGGACTTCATAGACGTCTACGGGCAGGCCGTGATCGACATGCTTCTGGAGGCCACCAACCCCGAAGCKGTGTGTGTTCTGCTCAAGTGCTGCGCCAGCAGCAAGCCGCCCCAGCCAGGTGGGTCGTGAGGAAATCGGCGTGTCGCAACACGGGCTGCTCTGCCTCTCATGATGCCTCCTTTTAAGGGCTCGGGCCTGTTGGTCTGTTCTGCTTGATCCTGCCTCCTTTCCTGCATTTTGTGGCTCCATGAGTTAATTTTTTTTCCTGCTCAGCTGTAGTGAAACCTGCGGGTGGCTTCTGTGAYGTCTGCAAGATGGTGGTGGCTTATGCAGACAAGGAGCTGGAGAAGAATGCCACAACGGCGGAGATCGAGGCTTTGCTGGAGAAAGTCTGTCACTTCCTTCCAGAGTCCGTGAGCGACCAGGTAAAGCCCCTGTGTGCAAGGTGGGCTACGAAGCAGCAGTAACTCTGGATCAACAGGAGTTGTCCCTGTGCCCTTGGATCTGGGTAGATCCGCCCCCTGCAAGGTGAAAAACAGATTGGAAAGGGGCTGGAAACCAACTGGCCACGGRTGCAGCTGAGGCTCAGAGCTCTGTCCAGTGTCTTGATCTAAGATTTCCTTGCTAGTGAGGAGCAAAGCGGGGAGAAGCTTCGTGTGGCAAGGCTGGGTGGAGGCCGGTCAGATGACCTGACCACATTTCTGACCTGCCTTGTGGCCAGCAATGGGTGGCCACAGGTTTTAGCAGGTGACATGTTAGGGTGCTTAAAGAGAGCACTGCCTCATGCTGGCCTGGGTGAAAATAAGCAGCTTGGTGCAGCTTGGAGCTGAGGGAATGTCTCCTGTTGGAGCCTGGCAGGAGGCTCCACAGTGCCCCTTGTTGAGGGCTTGGCACTCCCGAATGCCTGGGCTCTGAGGGATCTGGCTCAGCCGCCTGCCCYGCTCTGATTTGCAGTCAGGGCTGGTTTTGCCTGGAAACCCTCTGAGAACAGTGTGGGAACTGCTGAAGGGGGGTTTCTCTTAAATGCTGAGCTCGTTCGGGGGATTAAGCAAGTAATTGGAAGCAGGCTGGCCTCATTCCAGGGAGATAGCAAAGGGTAATACCTGCTAGGCCATTATCCTCAGAAATTACACACAACTCTTCCGTGGCCGCTGAGCCCCGGCGAGAGGCAGCTCTTTAAGTTTAGTAGGCGTAAAATATACAGCTATTAAGTGGCTATGAAAGAGCTCTCCCTGCTGACTGCTGGGAGGTGCTTGGTRGTTGTGGTTGGTTTATTAATCGGTGCCATTAGTCCCTGCTGGGAAGCCTGGCGCCTTTGTGCACTTGGGGGCTCTTCTGTGCTAGAGAGGGTGATGGGTGGAGGTGCTGCTGCCTGGGCTGGAGCTAACAGCAGTGGTGTTAAACGGAGTAACTAGTCAAACATGAGCCTTTGACGGGGGGCTGCCTCAACCTGTGCTTGGTTGCAGTGCGTTCAGTTTGTGGAGCAATACGAGCCCGTGGTGGTGCAACTGCTGGCGCAGATGATGGATCCCACTTTTGTCTGCACGGTGAGTATCCCGCCCGCTCCCAGGCTTGCCTAGCATGCAGATCGTGCCCGGATAAAACCCAGCCCGCTCTTAAACRCTGGGAGCAAGTTTGGGTGTGCGAGGGCTGGGCAGCGCTCTGCCTGCTGGCCTCGGGCATGCAGGGATGTGAGGGCAGGAGCTGCCAGAGGTTATCAGCAAAATTACACGAAAAAAGCATGAAAAGGGAGCTCTTTGTCCCCTCTTACTGTTTTCAATCTGCTGCTTCAGTTGCAAAGATTGGGCAGCTGAATTCCTGAGGACACCGTGGTGTTGCCCTTGCGCTCCCGTGCTCAGGAAGTGGCTGCCAGGCAAACGTTTGGAATGGCGGGGCCTYGGTGCGGATGAAGACCCTGACTTTGCTGTTCCCTTCGCAGAAACTTGGCGTCTGTGCAGCAGCTAAAGAGCCTCTGCTGGGGGATGATGCCTGTGTCTGGGGCCCGGGCTACTGGTGCAAGAACATGGAGACGGCTGCTCAGTGCAATGTAAGCGAAGGAGGGTCCTCCCTGGGTTCCTCAGGTGCCACCTCTGACTCTTTGAACTTCCATGTTCTTAACATGGACAAATTCCGCTTTCAAAAGTGGGGAGACCTGCTAGAGGTTCTTGGAGCAGCAGGCAGCTGCTTTTCCCCTGTGTCAGCGTTTTGGGATCCCTAACGAGGTGCAAAATGAGCTGTACCTTCCTGTTGAGCACATGCCATGGCTCTTAGAAACCAGCCCCAGGTATTGCTGTTGGTGCCTCCTTTGCCAAGGTCCAGTCTGAAGTGGTTAAGGGTCATCAGTGTCCTGTCCCTGACGGGGAACAAAGAAATTATTCATTTTAGTTTTCCCTCGAAATCTTTATTTAAAGAAAAGACTTGATCACAAGAGTCTTGGCTCAGAATAAGGTGTTGAGTACAGGTGTTCTTAACAAACACAGCCTTTTCCCCCCTCAGTCACGCTCTCTTCTCTCCCTGCAGGCCGTGGATCACTGCAAACGTCACGTGTGGAACTAAAAGCAGCTTTTCCAGTTCTCAAAGTGCCCCCGGTGGCGCCCGCGGCCTCGCTAACCATTTGACCCTCGAGTCCCTTTGTTGTAACTTTGCTGTAGCAGCGCCGCTGTCGGAGGAGCGGATCCTCGTCGTTCACTTGACAGATATTTCCGACTGTACAGTTTAACTCATTATGCTCCTAAAAATAGTCAGTGTTGTAGATTTGAATTGGTAGGCTGAAGTGTTTTTAGGCGCAGAGGAGGTGAAATGAGACGAGGATGTTTTAATTAAAAAGGAAAGAACGAGACAGTGATGAAACTTTCAAGCGTCTTTCTGTAGCTGGAAGATTTCAAGCTTTGCATTTCTAACATCTGCCTGGAATATTAACTTGCTGTGGTAACTGTAGGGGAACCCTGAGGGGTAAAACGTTGCGTCCCTGACTCCCTCTGGCTGGAATTCTCAAAGCTTCCCAAATGTAGCGGGGGGCTCTGCAACTTTCAAAGCAGCTGGTGCACAAAGTGCACTGGCCTTGGAGTCGCTTGAGGAACCCCTTGGTCAGCATTTGGATCATGATTCTTTCTTCCTTGGACCCCTGGGGTGAAATATGGATGTTTCCCAGTTGGGCCTGACTGGGATTTTTGGGGACATGTTGGGAACTGCTCCATTTTGTCCTCAGTCCTTCCTGGCCTTGCAGCTTTCTATGTGCAGGATGGAGAGGAAGGGCTGGTTGGAAGATCAAGGGGGAGAAGAAGGCCCTGGGGGCTGTGCACATGGCCAACGAGCTCGGTGAGAAGGCAGCGCGCGTGGGAAACGGCCTCAGCACCGCGTGCCCTTCCTCCCCTTGCTTTGCTCTTCTGCCCCAGGCTGTTCCAGCTGCGGAGGGGCTGGGGGCCTTGCTGAGCTGCCCTCCAAACTGGCGCCTGGCCTTCCCAACAACCCCCCGGGTGACTCTTCCAGGAAATCCCAGGTTTTGCAGACCCCGCAAGGTGCTGTCTCGGGTGGCTGAGCACACCTTGATGTCCACGTGCTGCTGAGCGTAGAAGAAGCCCAGCCACAGAGGATGGGCTCCCCTGAGACCCAGCCAGCCCTGGGCTTGGAGGGCAGCAGGAASCCTGTTTTCCATGGCTTCCCGTGGTGGTTGAGTCCTCACCACACCGGGAAGCGTGCAGTTCTGAACAAGTTAACCCCCCAATGCAGRTCCCAGAACAACTCTGCAAAGACCCTGCGCAGAGGTGGAGCTTTGGCAATTCCAGCCCCTTGGGAAAGGTGCCAGCACCTGCTTGGGTGGTGTCGGGGGGGAGGCCGGGGGAGCTCTAGGGATAGCACGTTAGGAACAAGCAAACTAATCTTCCTGAGTTTCACTGAAAACCACTCGACTGCAGCTTTTTTTGTACATACTAAATGCCTGGGCAGCGTTGCCAGATCCTGGGCTGTCTTTTTTGTTTGTGTCTGTGCGAGGCAAGAAAACAAGGGCCCTGAAGACGAAGCTTCCTGTGTGGGCAGATTTGAGTATCCCAACAGGGGGTCCGTGTTCTGGGTAGGCAATGGGCTCCTCAGCAGTGTTGCGCTAGAGGTGCGGGCACATCATGTCATTGGGTCTTCATGGGGGTCTTCAGCCTCCTCAACGGGAGAGCTTTGGGTTTGTGGGCTGGGGGGTGGGATTGACCCTTGCTCTTCAGGCTGGTGAAGTTTTGATTTATTATTATTATTTTCTTGGGGTTGAGCATTGAGCAACCTTCAGCAGCCTTCAGGGCAAGGGTGACTCGGGAGGCCTTATGCCGATGCAGGGAATGTCCTTCTCCAAGTGTTCCCCCTTCCTGTGGAACGGTGCGGTAGCCTGTGCCGGGGGAGCGGGGTTGCTTCCTAACACCATTGTCTTGATTGATTTCTGTYGGTTTTTTTGCACAAAGGCTTCTGTAACGAACAATAAATGTCCGTGAACCAGCGGGCTCCTCGGTGTCGCTGTCACCTTGCTTGCGTCCAGGGGTGTCCCTCGGGGAAGGGGGAGCCTCCGCGGAGGGCTGTGCYGGGAGTAGCTGCTGGGCTCCGCGCCCGCCGTAATGAGGGCCCCGCGTGGGGTGTGGTGAGCGTAGGTGTCTGCTCGGAGCGGCTCCTCCCGGCCGCGCGGCGCCGTGCGCCCTCAGTGCCGCCGGAGCACGGAGCGGCGCGGGGACGGCATGGAGAGCGCACGCAGCGCCCTGCTCCTGGCCCTCGCCCTCTGCCTGGGCGCGTACCCAGGTAAGGGGGAGCCCTGATCTTCTTGGGGGGGGGAAGCTCACAAAGGTGCTCCCAATTTCCCATTGGGAATTCTGGCATGGATCCCTTGCCTCTGAGAAGGTTGGGAAAGCTGGAAGGGGCTGGCAGTGCTTGCTTAGCCCTGGGTGGTTTAGGAAGGTTAGGCTGGGCTTGCACTGGGGAGGTTGTCCWGGTCAAAGTGAGCACTGCAGCTCATGCCCTGGGAGGTGATGTTGAGGGTGAAGGCTRCTTTGCTTCCTTCCATGCTGGAGAGAAGGGTTTGGGCCGGCAGCTCCTTCCCATAGGGAATGGGAGAGGCGCTGAGGAAGCGGGAAGAAACCTATGGGCCGTCTTGGTGTTGAGGTGGGAGAGGGTTGAGGTGTCTGCTGTCCCCTGCACGTGGACTGGCTGCCTAAGGGTGAACAGGGGCAGATGCTGCTTTTTGTTCTGCAATGGGGAGGCTAAAGCTGCCCTGGGGGTGGTGGTGGGACGAGAGCAGGGTCCCGTTCCTGAGCACCGTGGGCTGCAGTGGGGCTGGGGCAGCTCCTGAGCAGGTCCCCGCCTTGCTATCTCTGCCCATCAGCACCATCCCTCCATGGGAAGTGGCTTGGGAGGAGGCCGCTTGAGGCCCGTGGGGAAATAATGGGGTGGTTCCCCACAGGGAGAATCCCTGCAGGTGAGGGGGGAATATGGGGGAGGAAGCCACCCCACCACCCTTTGGAGGGTGGAAGGAAGGCCCCTTGCAGCCCCTACGCCTGGTTTGGTGGCGGGCGGGCGGTGAGCGGGAGCACGTTCCTGGAGGAGGAAGACGGAGGCAGGAGGGATGAGGGATGAGGCAGCGACAGGAAGATCAGGAATGGCTGCCCTGTGGGATGAGGATGGGTGTGACCCCARCGTGTGCCCAGGCCCATTCCCTTGTAGGTGACCCTCTTAAAACACCCTGGGAAAACGCAGTTCAGGGCCTGGGAAAGCCCAGGCGAAGCGAGACGAGGCGCCGCCCACGAGACGCGGCCATTGCACAAGGCCGTGAGGAGCAGTGCTGGCGCTGAGGGCTGCCCATGGCGTCCCCCGGGAGGGCGCTCCGCCCCACAGCAGCCCTCCCTCTGCCCGCGCAGGCTTTGGGGCAGCCCAGCCCAACCCGCTCGCGGGGCGTGAGCCGCGTTTAGCTGGAGGTTTCCCCAGCGCGGAGCCGCTCCGGCCGCCTCCCGAGCGGGCGGATGGGGCAACGAGGGCGGCTTGCACAAGGCCCAAGGCGGGCGAAGCGCGAGGCCGCGCGGGCCCCAGCGCCCTGCCCGCCTCGGGCCCTTCCCTGCCTCCCTCCCTCGCTCYGCGCCTGCTCTTCCAGTCGGGCCTGCCGCTGGAGCAGGATCCCACGCGGAGCCGGGCCCGCGGCAGGGCGTGTGGGACGCGGCGCCGCCCTGGCCCTCGGCCCTGCCCCGGGCCGGCGCTATGGGGCCGCACTCCATGCCCCGCATTGAGGGAGGGTCCTTCAGAGGGGCAGCGAGGCCGAGTCCAAGCACGAGGGGGACATCAAACCCCCCGCTGGTCCCCAAGCACAGCGGGGCCAGCGGGACGAGACCCCCCACGCGTCCCGAGAAGGACATTGCTCAAGCAGCGGTGACTCAGAGCACTGGCGCGCGTGTCGCAAGCCGCCCCGCTTGCGCAGGGGTGTCTGCTGGGAAGGGAGGCCTATTTCATTACTATTATTATTGTCTGTTTTCCCCCCATCTTTGCAAATTAAACAAAGCGGGGGTCTCTGTGCTGTGCTCCTCCCGCAGCGGGCGGCCGGCCGGCGTGCGACGAGCGGCCGCAGGACTGGTGCCGCGACGCGCGGACGGCGGCGCGCTGCGGCGTGCTGGAGCGCTGCTGGCCGCGGCTCCCGGCGGTAAGCGCTGCCACGYGGCACGGGACGGCCCCGGCGCCACGTGTGCCCGTGTGCCACGTGTGCCCCTTCCCCCCCTGCAGAAGGGCGTCCCGTGCCACTTGTGCCAGGTGGTGGTGTCCGTGATGGGGAAGATCCTGCAGGACAACTGCACTGAGGTGGGTGCCGGCGCCGGGGGACGCTCACGGTGGCGGCCCTGGTGGCGCCCGGCCCTGAGCCCGYGCCTCGCCTTGCCTCCTAGGACAAGCTCCGCGCCTTCCTGGAGAAGGGCTGCCAGCGCCTGCCCTTCCAGGACTGGTCCACGCGCTGCAAGAAGATGGTGGACACGGGCATCCTGGTGCTCACGCAGCTGGGCAAGCAAGTGCTGGTGAGCGCCGGGGCGGCGGCGCGGGTGCCGTGGTGCGGGCCAGCACCCTCACAGCACCCCTCGCCCACAGTCGGACCCCAAGGTGGTGTGCGGTACCATCAAGCTGTGCCAGCCGCGGCAGCGCCCCGACGGCGCCCTCACGTTCGAGGCGGAGGCGGCAGCGTCGGCGCCCGACGGGGACTTCGCGTGGCCCAACGCCCCCGCGCCGGCCGGTGCGGAGGAGCCGGCGCCGCCGTGCGGGGCCTGCGC